CCCCAAAACCCCAAAACCCCAAAACCCCATGTATTTTGATTTGCTAAGAAGTTGATATTTGAATAAATATAAAATGCAGAATTTTTAAAACCAGCTGGAAGAATTTAAACTATCAACAGCTAGGTTTGATGAATTACCCCTCTAATATGAGTCAACATTTGTTCCCAATCACAATTTGATCAGTATTCAATAGTAGTAAGATCCATAAAATTCTAGTTTCTATCAATCAATGATTGAGAATTTGCAATTTGAACTTAAAGTTGAACAAGCTAAAGTTGATAAAATTAGGAAAGAATGGAGTATAAAGAAATAAGATTATGTAAATCAAATATCATAATTATCGAAAAGCAATCAATAAAAATCAGAAGTACTGAGCAAATTAGAAAATGAACTCAAAGATATGAGGGATAAAGTATAATACTTTTATCAAAATTACCAAATTAAGGATAAACAGTGCGGAGAACTGAATATATTAAGTAAGGAATGCAAAGCTGATAAGTTCAAAATTGAAGTAGAATACGCAAGAGAAAAGGAAAGGTTTGCTAAATTAGAAGAAGAATATGATATTCTCTAATCTTCTAATGAATAGTTGTGTGACTAAATAAGATAGTATTCTGAGCAAATTTTAAAGATAGAGAACTAAAAGTAGATAGTAATAAATTAAAAGAAAAAAGAATGGGATAAACTTAGAGATTTCTTAACTATTATCACATCTGAATCCACAAAAAATAATAATGTCTAATAAAAAGAAGCAACCAAGAATATAGTTATCTTAGTTGGTAGGGCTATAGAGTAAATCTATTAATTAAGTCAAAAGAGAGTCCAGTAAGATTTTGATCTTATGGAGTAAAGACTCAAGTTGACCCAATAAAATATGCGGAAGTTGAAAATGGAGTTCTAAAAGATCAATTCTGAGCGAGTATTTTATAAACAGATCTATAAGAAAAGGATTGTTAATGAGTCTACAATTTAAGACTCTGTTTAAAAATCTTAAATAGTAGACAAGCTAACGATGTCCCTCTCTTAGAGTTAACTTAGGCCAATTCGAAACAATTCCATCTAAAAGAAAAATCTCTACTAAGAGGTCTTAATAAAGTAAAATAAAGATGTATCTGATATTCTTGGCTTGGTAGAAGACAAAAGACAAGGTTTAATCAATCACTTATAAATTTCTCCTATAAAAATGTTTAACTTAGAAAAAGAAATGTCGAAGAGAGACAATAATATGAACTTTGAAGATCTAAATAATAGTGATAGTGAGAATAATTGCTAAGTTCTAAGCGAAATTGATACATTTAGATCAAAAGATGTAGATGTAGCACTAGAGAAAGCTCAACAGCTTATGAAATTTAAGCATGATAGGGAATTTATCAACAAAGTTCTCGATGCTCAAATTAGAGTTAATGAAATAGAGTAAAATATTCTGAAAAATGCAACATCCTTATCAAATTCAAAAAAATCAGTTTCAAAGTCATCAGCTAAGAAACCAATCAAGGATGCAAAGTAAACTAAGTATGATTATGGAGCAATGGCAGCAAGTAGACCTATTAGGAATTGAAGTTTAATTTGGTTTAATTTACTAATTTTAATTATTAAATTTTTAAAAGTCAACTGTCAAATTCTTAATAATTTATGCGAGCAAATAACGATCACTGCAAGCTTATAAGTCCACGAGGACTACCTAGTAATGACTGTATGAACCAAATTTTCCAAATGAGTTTCGATAAAAGGCAAGCAACAGACTTGCCCTTAAAAAGATTATGTCGAAATGCCCACCGATTCTATTCTAAACAGGCTAGTTTTACTAATTTTGCGAGACCTAAGAGGAAGGTGATTATAAATCATAATACTGATCACAAAAACATGGCTCGAAACATGCAAAGATTTAGTAATTTATATGACTTAAAAGTAAACTTCAATATTAACTTGAGCACTTGGAGGGAAAAATTCTATGCATTTGATGAAAAGAAGTAAAAGTCTACAAACAATGCCTTTAAAGTGCTTTCTTTCTTTTTGCAAAATTATGAGATCAAGGGGTTTACGCTAAACTTTCAATTGATGCTGAAAAACTTTGATCTAGATGTAGCCTAAATGCTATAGCCAAAGACTAATACACTTTAATTCATTAAAATAGGCTGTTCTGAGATTCAAATCTAGTCCCTAATTGTACTGACACAGATACCTTAACTTAAAAGTATAGTAATACATGAGACTATTATTAGCAATTGCTCACAAGGATTAAGTGGGATAAAGGATAAATTAAAAGAGAATCCAAGCGTTTAATCTATAAGTTTCTATAAAAATTAGATTTGCTTTTTTGGCTAGCAGGTCTTATTTCAAGAAATCTTACCTTGCCTTACTGGATTAACAAAACTACAGGTTCCAACTAACTAATTAAAGGATAGAATTGTGGATGATGTCATTCTTTATATGAAAAATTAGCGAAGGTAGGGAATAAAGTCATTAAACATTGGAAACAATCACTTTAAAATAGAATCTTTAATGAAGTTATTTAGTTTCCTGACAGCAGAGTATCCAGCTCTTCAAAAGTTACAATTAGGCTTTTAGTCTTTTGAAAGTTCACAGTAATTCATGAGAGTAGTCGATATCATGAAGGAAAACAAATTCATTAAGAGTTACAACTTCGAGGGATGCAATTTGAGTCTCTCAGATCTAGACTATTTGAATAAAATGCTCATTAGCAATAAGAAAAGTGGAATTAAAAAGATTAAATTAGGCCTTAATAGGTTCTCAGAGGAGCAATTAAACGAGAAGTTCAAGGTAGAAAATCTTTCATCGACTGATTCATCATCATCAGATGACGAAAGAGACACTAGGAATTTGTATCCTATTATGGATATTGTTGAAAAGCCTATTGAATCTTTTTATGCAGGTCTCTTTCGGTGCTTGAAAATGTATTGAACAGAGCAAAAGATAATACCTATAACAATATAACAATAATAACTAATATAGAACTATATTTAAGCGACATAGCTAGCAGCACTTCATGAAATTTAGAATATAAGTGAAGTGACTGATTTAATTCTTTAAATAATCAATAAGTCAATTATTTTGGAATTCAGAATCATGGGGTTTTGGGGTTTTGGGGTTTTGGGG